TTGTAAGAAATTGCATTGTATTCTTGTAAGAAATACAGCCTGTTTTTTGCTGTTCCCTTTCCTGTACAGAGCAGAGCCAGGTGAAGCCAGCTTGGCCTTCAAGGATGTTCCCATGCTGAGCTTTGGCAGTCAGGGAAGAGCAAATTTCCTCCTCAGTTCCTGCCTAAGAGGCTCATTGAGCGTTGTAAAACACCAATATGAATCCAGATGACCAGGCTCTCCACGTGTAATTGGTAAAAATACATTGCTGCTAGCAAGATGATAATAACAATAGTAGTGCTAATGCAACAAACGCATGCTGAATAGATGAGTGATGATAAAGAAGTCGATTGCTAAATAGCAGGTTGTGGCCACAGTTTCTGCATCTGCTTACACAGTTTGTTTAGTGGGAAATATGCCACTGAATGCAGTGTCCCTACAACCCTGTCCTAGGCAATGCAGACCCCTGTTCATCAGGTAGTACTAGCACGTCAGCAAGCTAGACATTAAAGCAGGGATGTACTGCCTTAGTACTAAGGTTGGTTTAGAATTAACTGCAGTTTATTCTATTTGTTTAGAATAAACTGCAATGTGAATTATAAGCTTTGTCTTGTTAGAGGTAGGTTTTTGCAATATTGTTTTGCTAGGCTAGAATAAAACTGGGGCGGGAGAGGCCATTCAGTATTGATTTATCCTTCTAGAAGTGAGTTCAATTTTATTGTTCACTTCTGGCACGGACACTCTGTTAAAAAATGAAATTATATGTTATACTGTAAATTTTCACCACTTATGTAGATAAATTAGTGTCTGCAGAGTTGGAAAACTCCATAAGGGAAGCATGGCCTGTACAAACTTGAGCCTTTGCAGCATGCTGATGGTTTTCCATTAGGTAAGATTAATGTTTTTTGTTGCGTGAAAAAAAGATATTTAGCAACATCACTTTCTGTTTGTTAGGAATAAATACCTGCTGGACCAATTGCTTTACCCTTGGGAATAAATGGGCACTTTCAGTGCTTGCTGTTAAATCATTTCTGCAGGATGGCCATAGCATCTGCAGCTTCTGATCTGGGGATGGCAGTTGGATCTGGGAACAAATATATCCTCCTCCTTTATACATCCTCGTCCTCTATTTTTCCCTTTTTAAAACATGCAGGAAACAAATTGAGGTCAAATCCTCTTGTCTTAAAGATAATATACAGCACAGAGAAAAAATTGTCTGCCTGCACGAGTGTCCTGCTCCCAGCAGGAGCTCCTGGAGTGGGTGTTGACTGGAGAAGGTGCAGTAGCTGGAGCAGAGCCATGGAGAGGTCCCTCCCTTGGGGTTTCTCTTCATCCCACTTTTTCTAATCATGTCAATACCCATATGGTTTGCAGCCTACGTATTCTGTCCTCATAGATCTTCAAATAGCAACAGAGACCCATTATCCTGTCTTTTCCTCCTACGACCCCATTCTTCTCATCTGAGAGCTGATACTTGAAACTTGTATTATTACTGGTACATTTGCACTGCATTTTTCATGCAGAAGGTTCTTAAAATGTTGTACAACTTAAACTGATGCAAATTTATATATGACAATCTTAGGTGTAGGACTCCTTGGAGCTATCCTTTCTAATTGTCCAATATGTAGCAGTCGGGCTGCATGACCAGAAATGAATCATTAAATGCTGTGATTCCCAGATGCCCAGCTGGAGGCTGGGCCTGACTTTGTGCGTGTTAAACATATGTACTTAATACCGAGTCGCTTTGAAGTGCCTCAAATAATGTATCCCTAACCAGACCACTTGAAAATGATTAGAAACTTCTGAAGGTGTTGATATAGGCTCCTATATCAACAAATAAAATGCAGTTCCATTAGGTAGACAGGCAGGCTCTTTTAAACTAGGCACAGTGGTATTAAAATAGATTTTAATACAAGAAATGGAAAGTAATACTTCTTCTACTTCAATATTTAAGAGAAAGCAAAATCAAGGGAATTAAATTACTTGAATTGAAATTTAATCAGAACCATGCATTAAATTCCTGCGGTCTTGTAAAGAAATGTATTATTCACTGCGTATTAAAAGAACAGGAGATCCTTGTTTTACTTGTAAAACAGGAGTAGCTTGTCTGGAGACAGATCCCAGTCCTGAGCGAGCACCCACACAGAGTATCTGCCCGTGGAGAGAAACATCTCAGGTACTTGCAAAAAAATATTCTAGTGTTCAAATAACGCTGGTGCTGGGACTTGCAGTTGAGTTGTGCTAATACCAAACTCCAGAAGTGACCTGCAAGGTTTGATGGCAGTTTTCAGACTATGAAAACAAGAGAAAAGTGAAGCCAAGAGCAAGTGCCATCCATGCTGCTCAAGCTGCTATGTTGAGGATGACGTGTGAAGCAGCCAAGAAGGGGGTCTTTGAGGGTCCATAGCATGGGACAGAGCTAAGCTTCCTAAAGATGCTGAGCACCACAGCAGCTATTTTATACATTTCAGTTCTGCACAGCAAAGCTCTGTGACTCACTCCTGAGCCCACTGAACTCGCTTGTTTTCTCCTGGCTGCTGTAATCAGCAGGCAAAGCACTGGTTGTACGTGCATTTTTGACTGGAGATGCGCCTGTCAAATACTCTGAGCATATGGATAAGCTGTCATGTAAGAGGAATTGGCTAAGCCACGCTCACTTGGCATGCCTTTCCTTTCCAAAAGTGACTTTCAAAGGACGAGACAGGTACTTGTCAGAAGGGAAGAAAGAAATCATCTACTTCTAATTTTGAAAGATGATATAATTGTGGGCAAATCCCTCCCCAGAAAATATTAGTGAAGACAGAGGATTAAGAAGGAGACGATTATGGTTGTTCATGTTCCTGTACCAATATGTAGACAAAACTGGTGTCTCATGGCAATTTAAGAGGGGAATTGCATCTCCCTTCCCATGCAGAAGGAACATCTCGCTCATTTACAGTCTGTATTTAGGTACCCAGCTCCCATTGAAATCCGTGCGTGATAGAAACCTCATTACTTCTCTAAATCTGTCCTAAATTCACAAAATATTCACGCCTGCCTCAAGGTAGCTGGTGCCTGAATGTTTATTACCTGTAAAATTAGTTTGCTTTCTCTCCTCTAGCCCCTTCAGACAGCGTCTCCTGCTTAGGGTTCGTTAGCGCCAGAATGGTTGGGCTTATTCTAGTGTTGCTGGTGCACTTTTAAGATCTGTTTTCTTCTTCACCTAGACTCCCTCTTGGTGGAATAGTGATTTTCGTATGTTTATTTTTAATGGGAAAATATATCAAATCCTTTTGGCATTGCAGCAGAATGGGAAAAATCTCTCCCTTTCTTTTCCTCCCTCAGTTCCAAATACACTAGAAGACTTAAAAAGCCCTGTGGTGTCTTACTTTTAACTTGAACGTTATTTCTGACCGAAAAAATGGATTGAAAAAATACTCACCACAGCTATAAGATAGCAACAAGTTCACTGCAGCATCAGAGCATGGAGTTTAACCTAGGAAGATGAGCGGTGAGACCTGATATTCAATAACTTGGTGGGAGGAATATTATAATGTGCAGTGAATTGAAGCAGACTTATTGTGTCTTACCCTGTGAAGGATGTCTGCCTCTACTGCATAAAATCTTGCTTTGTGTTCCCAGAAACAGCATTTAAAATGTACAGCGAGTACACAGCAGGAATAATAAAATAGCCTCAACACGTAATTTCAAGCAACAATTGATATAGAAACAAGAAGACTTTTTTTTTTTTCTAGCAGAAACTGGTGACTAGTGTAGCTTTTTACTTAAAATTGTTTACTTTAGCTGGACATTAACCTCTTGGCAGATTTCTGGAAAAATCAGATATCTGGCAGTAAAAATTCATAAAGATGAGAAGCAGGGACACTTTTACCTAGCTAGCAAGAAAGAGTTAACAGCCTTCAGACATGGCAAGAATCATTTGCAATAGAATTAGAGCAACATAAAGTCGAGGGTTTGGAAGGGACCTTTAGAGATCATCTAGTCCAACCGCCCTGCACACGCAGGGTCATGTAGAACATGTGGCACAGGGTTGGGTCCAAGCAGGTTTTGAATATCTACACAGCAGGAGACTCCACAACCTCTCTTGGCAGCCTGTTCCAGAGCTCTGTCACTCTCACTGTTGGTTTTTTTTGTCTTTAACTTCCTGTGGAACTTTTAGTGCTTCAGTTTGTGGCCATTTCCTCTAGTCCTATCTCTGGACACCCCTGAAAAGAGGCCGGCCCTCTCCTCTTCACTGCCTCCTTTGGGGTATTTATATACATTGATCACGTGCCCTCTCAGCCTTCTCTTTTCTAGGCTGAACAGGCCCAGCTCTCTTAGACTTTCCCCAGAAGCCCAGAACTGGACACAGTACTGCAGATGTGGCCTCACCAGTGCTGTGTATAGGAGGACTATCTCCTCTCTCAACCTGCTGGAGATGCTCTTCCTAATGCACCCCAGGATCCCATTGACCTTCTTGGCCACGAGGGCACACTGCTGCCTCACGGTCAACTTGTGGTCCACCATGACACCCAGCTGCTTCTCTGCAGAGCACGACAGTTTTCTTTTATATAAAGAAACATATATAGACAGATACATTTGCATAACTATAAATATATTGCCTATTATCGTGATAATAAGCCAATGTGGGTTATGGATTATTCCTAGTAAAGTACTCAAGTAGTAGGTCTAGGCAAGTCTTCCCTCCCCCATTTCCATCTATCTGACTGAGATTTTTATCTGAAATGCTAAAAGTCGAGCAGTCACATAACTCACCTGGGAACCTGCAGACCGACGTGGGAGTCGTTCCTTCCATCACAGATCATGTCAGCTGCTAAGGAGGTACTTGAATGTAACTTAAATTCATCACGACTTACATTTTCTTTTTAACCTGCATGCTTTCCCCTAACCTTTTCTTCCAATTCAAAGCTCTTAGTAGCAAGGACGTTGCAACCATGGATAAAAAATCTTTCTCCGACGGAGTATTTGGGGGGAGTTTTGCTGATGCTCTGGCTGAGTGGCTCTCTGTGTTCTTGCTGCAGCTTGCACGGACAAGGAGCTGCGGAGTCTCGCCTCGCGGCTAAAGGACTGGTTCGGCGCCCTGCACGAGGACGCCAACCGCGTCATCAAGCCAACGAGCTCGGAGACGGCGCAAGGCAGTAAGCACAGCCCGGGCTGCGCGTCGGGCACGGCGGGATGCTCCCCGCACCGCCACGCTGTGGGTGTCTGCAAGTGTAGGGTTGCACGGGGGACCAGATCCTGCAAAGAGCTCCTCTGGTTCCTATAGGAGCTGCAGACACATACATGTATATAGCTGTAAATATATTTCCTATTATTGTGACGATAACACAAACACAGGTTATGGATATGCTCTTTCCAGCTCCCACTGCCTTAAAACCAGCAGCGCAAGGCAGCGAGACCTTTGTATTCAGCAAGCAATTAGCTCAATCTGAAGGCCATGGAGGCCACATCTAAGTGAGTAAATAAAGCCACTCAGGGACCTGCCCCGAGCCTGAGGTTATGTGGTGTGACGTGGTTCGTGTCTGTACAGCTACACTCCATGACCAGGGTACAAAACAGGGCAACTGCATCTACATCTGCATCTACTGGGGATCAACCTCATGGCATCAGCCAAGACCAGGGCGTACAGGTACGGAGGAAATTAGGACAGTGCTGGAAAAGACTCACTTAGACTTTCTCTTGTGATTTCTATTCAACAAGCTGTATAAGAGGAAGATTAATGAAAATATACGTGCCCTAGCTACAGAGCTGGATTAGGTAAATGGTGCAGAAAGCTGGAATTGCACACACAGAGAAAAGGCAGGCTTATCTGTTGTGTTCCAGGTGTTTAATAACACCTTCTAAGCTTCCATTGATGCTTAAAAAAAAATAGTTTAGAGGACAGTTAMTCTCTGTGGGTTGAACCGATATGACTGATTTTGATGTCAGGGAGGGGAAGGACTCAGATGACAGCTCAAAGGAAGTTATGCTCACCAGAGAGCTGATACAAACTAATTTTCCATTCCTCTTTAAGAGTGTGTCCCAAAATACATAGACCTCTGCCTTGCAAAGTGGGATGTTCAACTTTTACCGCGGTGTGTGTCTTGCCTTCCCTTCACTGCCCTAGTTCCAACCTGGGTCCACACAACCAAACGTTAAAGGCTTCAATCAGCTGCTCCCTTTTCCTTCTCTTTTGATACCAGTGGCTGGTTTCTTTAGTTATTTAGCCACTTCCAATAGTGATTTATTTTCAACAAAGTCTTTGAAGCAGTATATCCCATTTTTCTCTTGAACAGCCCTCTGAAAAGAGTTTTCTTATCTTGCAAACGAAGCTGAGCAGTGGCACATAAAGGCAGCTGGGCATCCAGCTAATCAGGGCTTCAAGACGTGAATTCATTTCAGGCCTCCTCATAGGCAACTCTAGGGACAGAAAACATTGTCTGAAGTCCCTTGGGTCCTCAACCATATGTCAAGAAGATGTTCCCTGTGCTCCTCCTGAAGAGCTTAGTCAAAGGCCAAAGAGAGAATTGATTCCTCAAGGATTTTTTTTGTTGAACCAATTTCAGTGAGAAAAACATTTCTGGTAGTTCTTCAGTGTTTGCTCTGATTCACAGAGGAGCTGTTATCTCTTTTTAGCTTAGTTTGATTCCTGGCAGCTTTTGTATGAAAGGCTGCCTTGATGATCTTAAACACTTGATCTCAACAATGTTCATTTTTAGACTGTTGACTTAGTTTGGCACATATTCTTGTTTTCTTATGTGTCAGGGGAAAAAAAAGAAACTTTATGAATTAAGATGCTTAAATCTTTACTGCATGCCACAAAACTTAGGCTTGTTTTCCTTTTCAAGAGATTGCATCCCTACTCATGAATTAATCCGCATGTGCCAAGTTCTGCAGACCCGTTTCTTTCTCTGGAAACACACATTGAGTAAGAACAGCAGGATGTGGCTTCCTCTCACTTCAAACATTTGTGAGGATAAAAGACATCTTAAATGGGGCTCAAAATTCAAAGCAAAGTTCACAGACCCAAACTGAAAAAAAAAAATGCTTGTTTGAATCCCAGCAAGCAGGACACCTGCAGCTCTGAAAGCATGTGCTGACGAACCCATCGCTCCTGTTACTGCTCTGCGTGCATTCCCCTCCTCACCAGGCTCATCGCTTCATTAAACCAAACTGGTTTGGTTATGCCTGTAGTGTCTTAAAAAGCATATGCATCCTCAAAGTAATCCATTTGGGGTATGCCCCTGTGGCAGTAAAAGGGAACAGATGGTGGGAAGTGATGACTAAGATGCCTAAGACACATCAGCTGTCTGGAGAAGGTGTTCCAGCAGAGATTTTTCTATGCTACATTAAATTTTCAAGATGCTACTGTGAGTGTAAATAAGCTTTTTGAATGTATTAAGTTCACCCCCAGGTGAAGAAAAGAATTTCAAGGGTTTTTTTAAATCTCTTATGAAAGGAAAGAGAAGAGGGTAAGTCATTGGTGTTTCAGAACTCAGACCTACACTCTCTGCCAGACTCTAACAAAACACCATCAGCCAGGAACTGACTTCGCGGTCTTCGTACAACTGAGGCCACCTCAATAAATAAAATCAACATGAGCAACTCGGGCACAAGTTAGAAATAAGAAATAATGCTAATTGGGTACTAAAATCTGATGCAAATTTCTCCAAAGCCTGTCAATAATTCATAATGCTCCTGCATTGTATGTAGATGGTCTCTTTAACTGGAGTGGGACTTGTTTTCCTTTTCTAGCAATCTGTGCAATACAAAGGATCTTTTCTGCAGAAGATTTCTGCTCCTCCTCTTATTTTAAGCAATGGAGGAAATTGGGTTAATTATTCCCCTGTTGATTAAATTGTAGTATGCTTTAATAAAATAAATCTGACTCATATAAGTCAGCTCTTGAAGGGAGAGAAATAAATGTATGTGCCAGAAGGTCTCTGTATTTTAATTAGGAGTTTCTTTTTTTTTTTTAATTCCCTTTTAATTCATCAGAGGTGGAGCGTTTTAAGTATTAATGGGGTACCAAGACTTTCACATGTAGGTCGCTGGCTTGAATTCCTTCCCACTCAGCAGCCAAGGAGAGTCTTTAGGCCACCAAGCAGCTGTCAGATGGAAGGAGAAACATGATGGTCTCAGCCCAGGTCCTTGCGAGCAGGTGTCTGCCATGGAGCAGCTACCAGCACGTTGACACTAATTGGCATCATCGCTGGCAGTGCCTGCCATTGCTGCAGGGCTGAGTGGAGGCACAGAAAGATGCAGGAAAGATCTCTCAGAGGCTGCTCTTGCACCGGTTCCTCCAGGCTCCAAATTCAGTTTATTAACCTAAAGAACATTATTCATCCCTGAAGTGCAGCACACACTTTATTTCTTCTAGGATATTGCACCATATGGGAAGGAAAATTTGTCAGGAGACCGGGAAAGGAAGCATAATTCATCCAGCACTGCTTGGCCTCCCCTCATGTGCCACAAACGAGGCAGACCTGACCCCAGCCTGGCTCCCTGCTTCAGCCCTCAGAGTCACCACAGGATGATTTAGGTTGGAAGTCACCTCTCGGGTTGAACTGGTCCAATTTCTCTAAATATCTACCTATTAGGCAGCTGGAGGCAGCACTATCACTAGGTGGGAGATGATTGTGGATGGCCAATGGGCTCAGCAACACGTACTCTGCAGGGCTGGCTACACGGGAGAACTTGCAGCAGGACCATGACATGAGGACCATCCTGCAGAGGACATCTGCCCTGTGGAAAGGACTCAGGAAGGGCAGACAGGCACGTATGGCTCAGCCATACCACATCTGCACCGTGGAAAGAGAAGTAACAGAATCACAGAATGGTTGAGGTTGGAAAGGACCTCTGGAGGTCATCTAGGTGTTCAAGCAGGGGCATCTAAAGCACATGGCACAGGGTTGCATCCAGGCAGGTTTGGAAGATCTCCAAATCACACTTTACCTGCACCCTACCACCATTCAGTAGATATTCAGGGGACTACATCGTCAGGTCACTTACAATTGGATTTTGTGTGCTTTCTACATATCACAGTAGCACTTAAGACAAATGTAACGAATACGTAAAACAATACAAACATAATTTAAAAAGGAAAACTCAAGCAGCAGTACTTTGGAGTGGGCCTACACGCTTTGTTTCCTTTATAAGGTAAACAGATGGAATTCCATACACTGACAGAATGAGAGAGTGGTATGGAGGGAAAAAAAAAAACACTGAAAAGCAGAGGGAGGAAACAAGAGGGAATGAACAGGAAGGTGAAGGCAGCAGCGTGGCACACAGTTCTCAGAAAAAAAAAAAAAAATGTTTAGACAGACACTGAGAACAGACATCAGGATGGCATAGACAGAAATGACCACGCTACAAAGTAGGGCCAGCAAGGGCTACAAAAACTACAGAAGAGGTCCTGAAGAGTGACCATGACGTCCTTCCGATTGCATAACTCACAACAATTCTACCCATTTTCAACACTATATCACAAAAATCTTTTGCGAACTATAAAGCAAATAAAGGCCCTTTGTCTGTAAGCTCTTATGAAATTGAATAGTCTGTCAAATTCTGATACTTTTGTCACTCATAACCTGCCTTTTAATCTCGCTTTACCCTCAAGTCTAAGGCCTAAGCCTATACCCTCAAGACAGCCCCTGAGAACCGCCATCTAGATGGCATTGACAGAAATGACGGTGCTACAAACTAGGGACAGCAAGGACTCAAAAACTGCAGAACAGGTTCTAAAGAGAGCCTGTGATGGCCTTCTAACTGCATAATTTACACCACTACCACCCATTTTTCAATAATACATCAAAAAAACAATGTCCCAGTGTCTACCCTCAGTCCTACTCCGAATTGAATTATGAATTCAATGAATTTGCCCTTGAAGTAATGCTTAAAATAGCAGGCAGGTTGAAGAGTTTGGAGACAGCAGCAGAATCCGGCAGTGGTTCTGACATGCCTTGAACGAAGAACATCTGGAAACAAGACTTGATGCTCAGAGCAAGCAAAGTGAAGCTTGAGGTCTTCCCATAAAGCAGGGTGCCTGGGGCACAGACACGTAAATCATAGCTAATTTTGACAATAGGACCATCTTTGCAGCAGACCTTCAAATGGCAGCGACTGTGTGCATTTATAATGCCCTAGTTTGTGGGAGAGAACTAAAAATCAGTGGGACTCTCTCTGGGGAGGAATCACAAAATCCCACAGCAGCCAAGAGTCACCAACGCTGCAATGAAGTGAGAGCAGGAGGTGCCTCTTGATTGCGTTTGCATCAGTGTAGACCTTCCCACAGAGGGAGCAAGCAAAAGAGACAGTCCCTGCATCCCCACCGCGGTCCCTGACGTGTTTTCAGGCCCAACCTCGGCACAGGTTGTTCTCTGTGGGAGATGTGGCCTCCAGGAGGGCAAAGCCCAGGCCATGAGAGGTGGGTAGTGAGCACACGCTACAGAAGAATTTGATTGGGGACCTATCCAGAAAGAAGCGTTTAAATTGCATTTTGCGTCAGCCTGTTTTGAAAACACGGTGGCTGTTGCCTTTTCTCATGCCATTTCAGTTTTCTGAAATAAGGTCAACAGATATGGGACTGAGGATGGGGGAAAAAAAGAAAGAAAGAAGTAGGTGTCTTTCTTTTAAGCATCAATAACTTGGAATTACAATAAGCAGGTCTGAATCTCAGCTTTCACTGCTCTGCGGTTTATAAAGAGCATGAGCAGTAGTCTGCAGGCATGTTGGGATTTTAAGCTTTTTATTCAGGCAGTTGTTGTGAGATTTCTGCTGCACTGCACAGGTCAGGTCAATATTCAGAATCCAGCCAAGAAAAAGACTTTTTTTTTTTTTTTTTTTTTTTTTNTTTTTTTTTTTTTTTTTTTTTTTTTTTGGATCATTCGAGGACTGGTGACTGCAGGGTGTGCAATGACTCACATGGGGCTGTTTGCCTATCGTCTTCCAGGGTTTGACACCAGCATCCTGCCCATCTGTAAGGATTCCTTAGGCTGGATGTTCAACAAACTGGACATGAACTACGACCTGCTGCTGGATCCCTCGGAGATCAGCGCCATTTACCTGGATAAGTATGAGCCCTGCGTCAAGCCCCTCTTCAACTCCTGCGACTCCTTCAAAGACGGGAAGCTCTCTAACAACGAGTGGTGCTACTGCTTTCAGAAGCCCGCCGGTGAGTGGTTCTGCTTCGCAAGCAGATCTCTGATGCGAGGGTGGGAATTGCTGAGGTCACTGTAATTTTTCAATATTCACGTGTAACAATGTGCACGCAAAAATCAGCATTTTAGGCTAAGCGGTTTCATATTCCTGCTGTTGCTTGTTCCTGGTGTTTATGCCAGTCAGACGTGTCCATCCTTGCTAGAAGGATGACAAGAATTCTTTAAAATATTAATTTGATTAAGGAGACAGCTGAACAAGAAGACTTGAAGCAGCCAAACTACCATGGGCAAAGTGCTGAGGATGCCCTATATGCACTTGGGAACTTCAGCACCTTCATCTGCATGAAGACAATGTAGATGCGCCCAGTGCTCCCGTTGGGTGCCTGTTGTTAGCAGGGCCTCTAAAATCCTAGCTAACATCTTAGCTAGCTTAGCTAGCTTAGCTAGCAGGGCCCCTAAAATCCTAGTCCTGTACGCATCGCTCAACTTATTTGTGTGCAAAATTAATTCCAATATTTGCCCAAACTGGTAACACTGGTTTTAAACTTTGAGCTTTATTCCAAAAACTCTAAAGCTGGAGCTTTGTTCCCAAAACAATCAGGACTGCTGGTCTCTCATGCACTGCATCTTCAAAATTACTGCGAGTTTAGCATTAATGTTTCAAAATTTTAATAGTTCAGCTATTTCACATTGGCATTTTCTAGCAATCGTGTTTTCCAGAGTGCTGCATCTAGCTTGACAAGAGCATCTGTCCACTTCGGTTTATTTCTTCTACAGTTACATACATAGTATCTGGGGGTCAAAGAAAAGTTGTTGGGTCTCCTTGTGTTTAAATTTTGATTGCTTGGCTCTTAAGGACTGTAGAAGATTGTTTGTTTGTTTTAAAGGAGTTATCATTGGTATAAAAGGTCATTTTGTAACAATATTTAAGGTCACAGATGAACTGCAATAATATCTCTCAATGGTTGAAACAGAGAGATACAAAGTGCTGACACGCGCACTTTAAAATCACTAATACAAAGCCTAAGATCTTGTTTGCTTATTAACGAAGGTATTAGCCTGTTAGCAAATCCTAAATTACCAAGCTGGCATTATATCACTTCGGTGAAAAAAAAGCGGAGAAACCACTTAACAATGAAAGCAGCCCCAAAACAGTATTTTCAACTACAGCTTGTTGCATTTTTTTAATTAGTGGAGCTAATGGCACAAATTCGTTTTGCAGAACAGTATCAGCATGTGGGCCTGTTCCATTCCCAGGTGTAGAGGCATCTACGTTTCATGTCAATAGTGAAGCCAGTCATTAGAGAGTCTGTCCTGCACCATCTGGAAACTGATTCCCATACTTTATATTTCAGGTCTTCCCTGCCAGAATGAAATGAATAGAATTCAAAAGCTAAGTCGAGGGAAGAGTCTGCTGGGTAAGTTCGGATGCTTGCTGCTCATTTACTCAACTAATTAAAGCTTCTGTGATTATTGTAACTTCCTGGGCAGCAATAGGGTTTCAATTAGGGGTAATGCTTGGAGTTGGGAGTGTGCACCAAGGAGGGTGGACCAAAGGCTGGGAAACGATTGCATCTCCTTGCAATTGCAAGCAGTGAGCTGCATCTCCTCATCTTGAACATCTCCTCAGGATGCTCCTGTGCACACGAGCTGTGACAGTGCCTGCCTCTCCCTTGCCTACTGGAAGCCCAACCTGACTCATCTAGTAGCATTCCGGATACCTAAAACTGCGTGGAATAATCTCCCATATGGCATTGTTCTATTTAACGGCTGAAAAATCAGGTCATTAAACTGGGTTATTTTAATTTAGCTAATTCTGCTGCCTAAAATTGCACCGTTACTTACCTAGAGGTTCTCTAGCATTATCTTAGAGACGTTTCTGCTCCAGTGTGTTGATGCACAGGGCATATGAGATTTATCAGCACACACCAAAGGCTCTTTATTCTGTTTTTTTTTCTGAACGCTCATTAGCAAACCTTGCAAAACGCTTCTGCAAAGCTCATCTTTACCAAATCCTGCCATTCCCAAAAGCCGGCGCCTTGGAAACCATCCCAACCTGGACTGCTTTGTTCAAAGTCACTATAAGCACACCCAGACATCCCAGGGTTATGGTTCAGCTCTGCCACCCATTCATAGGGTTGTTGCTTGAAGGATAAGAAATTTCAGAGCTGCTGAAACTACAGTTCCTAGGAGCAAGCTCTGGCTATCCCATGTTTCTTTTATGCTCTGCTGTTATTTGCTATGTGCTGTTGATGTCATCTAGGTTGAAGTCTATGTGTTTTTTTTTTTTTTTTTTAGTGCATGGCAAGATAATGACTAGCGCAGGTAGTGCAACATACAGGCAGCTCTGCCACATAGCACTGGGATCTGGGGATCTGGTCACAAGAGCAGGGCCAAAAAGACACCATAAAATAAAAGCAGCAAGAATAGTCCCTTACTACAAAAAACTTCCAGTTAACTGTTTAAAAAATGTATAAAATAGGCTAAAAAAGGTATAAAATCAATCAGTCAGTGTCTGGCATAGGTTGTTCCACCAGCTTGAAAAATGTACAGGGAGAAACTCTTTGGGTCACTCCTTTGCTTGAAAGTCTGCCTGCATAATGACACCTGTCTGCGAGATTTTAATCTAATTTCATTGCTACTCACACAGAGGAAAACAGTGTCCCTTCTCTTCACTGAGTTACCACATCCTGCAAACAGAAGAGAGAACACACAGCTGAGAGAAGCCCCGCTTGTAGCAACAAGAAAGATCGAAGAAAGATGAATATTTTCCGAGAAACTAGTCCTTAATTATTCTCTTTCCTTCTCCACGCCTGACATATAGAGCACAAAATTTCCATTCCTGAAGATTTCTGTGAACTCATATCCATTGATAAAAAATGAGGACTTCTGATATTTTTTTCTCTATATATTTTTCAAAATGCGTGACAGTTGCAACAAAGTACTTCAAAGGCATTGCCATTAGATATGTTGAGTTTGGAGACTCTCAAATAGACTCGAGCATCCCAGGGGACTGAATTAAAAAGTAAACAGCACGATTCATCTTTTCCTACCAGATTTACTTCGAGTACAATTAACTGCAGTGAATGTGCTTTTAGGACATACAACTGTGCAGCCTGATGATGCTTCTCCCACATTACTATCATACTAAATTTCGCTTCCCAGCCCTATTTTCTTCTAGATCAGCCCTGTGAGTCCAGCTGGTATAATAGCAAATATGGGAAGCTTTTTATTAAGCTGGCTGCACTTAACCCTTTAGATCTTACCTCGGTGCTTTGCAGTCCTTAGTAGTATAATTACTCTCCCCATGTCTGCTGATGAAGGGTGCTGTTATATGTGTAAGGAAACCAAACCAAATAGAGGCATGAAATATTCCCACTCTGTGGGGTACTTGATTGCCAGAACTTGTTCTCTTGGCTAGCATGCTGTACTGGGCCATTAGTGTGTGTAACTAAATATTTAAAGCTAAATATTTATCTTATGTTGCATGTGCAAGGCAAATTGCCACAAACTGCCCCCCTTCCTCATCCTCTGCACCATGACCCAGAACATAATCCTTCCAGTCCAATGGAGCTGTGTTTGGTCATGCTGCCAAGGAGCCTGTCCCGTATTTTTTTTTAAATCTATGGCTTTTACAGCTGGTGTGAAGTGGTTTAATATTGTACACGAACCACGGTGGAGCTAGGCAAAAGGCCTGTGACAAAAAAGGGAAAAGGTTTCATTGCCAAGGGAAAGAGAAAGGATGAGATAGTTTAAAATATAGAGACTGTGTGTGTATGCATATATAAATATATATGTATATGTATGTATAGCCTGCCCTGTATTGCCACTTTGGTTCTCTCCTTGGTTGTTGCTGGGCGCTCCAGGGTGGCTGCGGTCGCTTGGGCACAGATGGAAGTTGTCGCCTGAGCCCTCATCCCACAGTTGTGCATAGACTGAGCAACACCTGCAAGGCTTAACTGAGAAGTGTGAGCAAAAAACATGAAAAAATATTCTGTAATCAGTAAGAACATCCCAAACAGTGAGCATTAACCTGCAAAAATGGTAGAGCTGTGCAGCTCCACATTATTAGAACTACTTTTGCTAAATAATGAGTCCTTAGGAGTCACAAATGTGAAGGTGACTCTAAAGCTGACCAGCTTGTACAAAGCTTGCTACTGATATGCAGAGATTTCTGTTCTGATCTTCGAGACCTACATTAACAGCAGTTAAACATCAAAAAAGATATGCGGTAGGATGAAATTGGAAACTCAAGGATTCATTTTATATATATTGATATACAGAAAGAGAAATACAGGGAGAGATATAGCTAGATAGATCCATAAATGAGATTGACTGACTTCCATTTTTATGTCTGCTATATAAGTAATTTCACAACATTTGGGCAGCACTTTCTCATTCATTTTTTCTGTGAGAAATGTAGAGGCGATTGCCTCTTTGACACATAGCCTATCTGAAGAGATGCTATACACATGGAACTAGTTAAAATAAGTACTGTGTGACCAATAAATCACTGGTACCTTTGACAAAGAAGAAAAACACTGTCTCAAAATCATTTGAGACCATATTTTAAGGCAAGAATGAGTTTTCTGTTGTTTTTGCACCATGTTTCAAATGGAAGCAATTGGCAAAGAAGGGAAAGTGGCTGTCCTGACCTCCCCTGGAGTAAAGGTAACTCATCTCAATGGACAAGAAGGATTTTCATACTGAAGTACCTCTGTGGTGTCTGCTGAGGGTGCTGGCAGCAACAGCGCAGGTTTCTCTGGAAGTCTTGGTGGTCTGCAGAAGGAACCACGCTCTGGAAGGCAGAACTGGGTGGGTTTTATTGTAAGACAAATCCTAGGACTTTGAATCGGAAGAGGTATTGACTTCCCATCCGGGTGCCTGTTCCCAAGAAGCTGTTGCGTGGGATCTGCTTTATGCAGGAGAACTCACAGGCCATCGGAAGCTGTGCTTGAGCTTCACGTGACTAGCAGAGGGCAGAGAGGCCTTCCAAGGGTAAACACAGCATTGGTGAAAGCTTTATGTCATAACACTGAAAGAACACAAACAGAAGTGAAACGCAAAATTAATGGCATTCTGGATAAGATTCCAGTTGGGAAGAAAATGTGTAAGGAGTTCAATGGGAAAGGGGAGTTGTAGTAGTATGAATCACTGAGGGACAGACCAAGCCAACCCTTACCACTGTGTGCCTTCACTCTCCATATGCAGCCACCAAGAAATATATAATATGCCTTATATAATTTCTGCTTCCTGCCGTTTGGCCCCAGGACACCCTAACGATGCTCACACCGATGCACAGCACGACCAGGATGTCTTGTCTAGCTATGTGCGGCCATAGAGGCTCGGATCCTGCTCACACCTTGTGTTTCACGCAGGTGCCTTCATCCCCCGCTGCAACGAGGAAGGTTATTACAAAGCGACCCAGTGCCACGGCAGCACGGGGCAGTGCTGGTGCGTGGATAAGTACGGGAACGAGCTCGCCGGCTCCAGAAAACAAGGGGCCGTGAGTTGTGGTGAGTAACGAGGTACTTCTGCTCAGGCATTAGTGCTGGTGTAAGCCACGGCTGGAAGATCAAGCACGAGAGCGAAAAGTGGCAATGGAGAAGACGTAATTATCAGTGTTCAAAGTGCTCCCCTGCTTTCCTGGTCATAACACAAATGGGGGCCTCGCGACACATGCTGTTCCTTTGGACCTTTCTTTGCAGCAGAATTTAATCGGCAATAACTGATAAGAAGATGGGTTTGCTGCTGGCTTGGAAAATATAGTAGCTGCTATTAAAGGACATGGGATTGTTACGCAGAATTATTAAATGTATTCTGTGTAGCTGGGAATTTGCAATTGCAGGGCCTTCAAAAATGTTGCCACTCCCAACTAGGAGGGGTTTAACTGGGTGAAATTTTATAAACTGACAGCGGAGCCCGATGAACACGCTGACAGGTCCATTATGGCAATGTGTAAAATCACCTCCTAGCATTTACACCCACACACATGAGATTTAGCTGGCATTCCTTCAGCGTGTTTTAATGATGGCTGAGGATGCAGCTCTTGTTATTAGAGTAGAAGTGAAGGTTGGAAGGCCAGAGGTGTCCAGAATTGCATTGAAGGTGTTGGGCTAAATAGGTGCATTTGCAGGCGTGTGCTTTAAGCACTCGGATAAAATCAATCTGTGGGGTATTTTTAGCCTAGTTTACTTAGTTATAATAGGCTGAAAGTATTTGTGAATGGGTAATTATTTTGTGGCCTGAATGCATGTGAACAGAGTGGGTTCGCTCCTAAAGCAAATCATCTGAGGCCCCAGGAGGCAGAGAATGCATGGCTTCTTAGGCAATTTTTTTTTTTTTTTTTTTTTATCATAAAGCAAGATATATTTATCCCAGTTCAGGATGAAAACTGACATTTGAAAGTTATTGCATGACCAGCAGAACCAATGAATTTAAGAAGTACAAGTGGCAGTAGCGTAAACCACAAGGGTAGTGATGAAGGTTGATTGGGAAGGTTGAGTGTTGCGTGGGAGAATGACCATTCCCTCTTACCTGTTTCAGAAGAAGAGCAAGAAACCTCAGGAGATTTTGGCAGCGGTGGATCTGTTGTCTTGCTGGATGATTTGGAAGAAGAACCTGAAGCAGCAAAAAAGGACAAAGAAGGGAAACTGAAGATTCATGTAAGAGCAGCTAATGAAGATGATGAAGATGAGGATGATGACAAGGATGATGAAATTGGGTATATATGGTAGTGCCCACCACTCTGAGGACTCACGTTTTGCACAATATTGCAAGTCACATCATATCTCTGCAATTGTATCTGAGAGTACCTGGCACAAATATCCCCTCTCTTCTAAGTTTGGTTCTTCATAGTGTATTTAATTTTGAAGACAGATTTTTTTTCTTTTTGTCTTGGTTTTGTTTTCCAACCGGGACTGATTGGAATTCAGGTTTTGTTTAGTTGGTTTGGGGGATTTTTGCTCTATCCACAGGGGCGATGAGTTTAGTTTCACCAACACTTTACATCTCAGTCCTCTCCTGCACAGCTCGCGCCCTGCGAAGGACAAAGCTCAAACAGGACCCAGCAAACCAGGGGGAGGCTTCAGAGCCCACCCCATGTAAAGAGCCTTAGACAACTTGTGTCACAAATGCTTAACTGGATTGTATCAGAAACAGGTATTTTTTCTTTCTTGCAGAAGAAAGGTGCCTCCTTTTGTTGCCTACCTGTTACCAGTTAGTAAAAAGTCAGAGGTTTAAAACTTGATCAGGTGAGCTGCAGAGCTCCTGTCCCATGGCCAGACAATGTTACCCATCCATCTTCCAAGGGTCTCCAGTTTGCAAATCTGCAGAGCAATTTGCAAAGCTATAGAGTGGTTCACAAAGCTGCAGCAGCACCATGAACTACAGGGACACTGTGCCAAGCTGCCACCTGGCCCTTGTCCCCCTCTTCTGAAGCTAGGGCACAGGCGCTGCTTTATTTTAAACAGCTAAAATTATTTGATCCTTGTTTTTAAAAGATTGAGGTAGTCATATTTCAAAAGTGGGGCATCTCTTGCTCACTATAAACAAGTGCCACACTTCCAATAGCAACCCATAAAAGAGAAGAATAAGATTAAAATCCAATCTGGCTCCCTCAGAATCTCCCCTATGTCCCTAACTCTACAACAGCGTCCCAGCGTGATGGCACAGAATTATTTGTGATGTCCTTTGCCCTTGTAGCTCACCAATGCAGGAAGGTACCGTGGAACCTGTGGGTATTTTTGCAAATGAGGGCCCATGCAAATCCCACATCACTTGGGAAGAGATGCTTTCCAGGGACCTTGGAGCCGTGACTCCAGACATGATGCAAAAAGCAGGGCAGAGATGGGAATGTGACCTCGCATGCTATGGGTGGCAGGGGCTCACCCGCTTTCTCCTTGTCTGGATTAAAATCCAGAAGCAACACCCAAGCCTGCGTAACTGTTAATGCAGAAGGATGGCTAAAATCATGAGGATTTTTTTTCTGTGCTGTTTTGCACTTCCCCAAAAAGCTGCCCTCACACTCACTAGTAAAAGGCTGGTAACCTGCTCTGCTTTGGAGCGAGTCTCTTTGGTTTCCCTCCAGCTTTGAAAAAGCTATTAAAAAAAAAAAAAATCACTGTGAGCTATGGGGCCCAGTCTTTTCCTAATTACTTTTCACAGAAAATTATGCTGATTTGCAAAAGGAACACGCACAACTGGCATTTCTGTGCTAAATAGTATTGAGGGGCACAAACACCATCTAGGGCACATTTTGCAGAGCCCCCCCCCTAAATCTTCTTGCTTCTCACCTGACATCACTGGTTTCATCCTAGTAATTAAACCTACGGGTTTAATCTGGGTCTGTCGCTGTGGTTTTAAGCAGTACTCACCCCCATGCAGACATCCACACACCCTGAAACCAGGAGGCCCATCAGCTGAGCCAGGTCCAACCCCAGCAGAGATTACAGGGACAAGAAACGTGTTGGTCCACCTGGATGCAGAGCTCCTCCAGATCAATCCCCTCCTTTCCTCATGTTTCTGCTGGGAGCCTTGTAAAGCGTTTAATTTGCTTCCCACTTAATTTAATGCCTGCCTTTTTTGTTTTGTTTTGCAAAAACAACACTTCCCATCTGCACTGAACCACCGACCTTCCAAATAATTTCTCATTGTGTAAAAAAGGGAAACAGAGCTGTCCTGTTCTTTTAGAGCCACAAACCAATTTTTAATCTCATTTTCCTTTCATATGAGAGGCTAGGAAATACTACTTGGCATTACTTTACGTTTCATGATGTCCTTTTAACTGCTGTGGTTAAATCAAAATCTCCCTGAGTTCAGATTCCAGCACAGTTGGGTTTTTTGGGGTCATTAATGGCCTTTGCTGTGAACACAAAGAATATTTCTTTCCTTTGCCTTTTTTTTTTTTTTTTTTTTTAAGCTATTCTGGACCATTCTTTTAAGCCATTGGAAGTGTTTATTTAATATTTATTCTACAGTTTATATTGAAGATGTAAAGTTTATATTTAAAACAACACTGTTTGTTAGTGAATGCTTCTCTCTCTGCCTCGCCAGCCTAGTCCGTAGTCTCAGTGTACATTTCTGGCATGGGAATATTTTGATATTAGAAGTTTTGTAGCATTTTTCCCCCCCCTTCAGCAGCCAACGACATAGCTCTAAGGTCACCCCTTGCTCGGGACCACCAGATTACAAAGCTTCTCACCCTCCATTCGTTGCCTTTTCTCGCCGTCCCTTCGTACGCCACTCGAGCTCCTTAAGACACCGACCGCTTTGTACAGTTCCTATACATCCAAAAAAAAAAGTCCTTTCTACCGCAGGTGGTTTTTGGTCTTTTTATACTTTTCTCAATGCTGTTGATGTCCGGTCCTGTTAAATGTGTAGAGCTGTACGGAGAGATCCAAATATTCCGTGTTTCAGTTGGATGTCCCTACTGTAGCTGGATGTAGACTGTCATAGTAAGTAGCCCTGCATAGCAAATCCTGAATGCTTTTTCCATAAGGACTTAACTGGAATGTGAACATTTTGCTATCTTTGGTTAACTGTAAAGGCTTAATTGTAGTCTGGAATAGTTGCATTTTTGTCTGTCTCAATAAATTTTAATTTGTCTGCGACTCTCCCGCTCGCCTGTCCTGAAATTTATTAAACTTTAGGGATTGAAAATACTGCAGGACCCAGAGTCAGCATGTTAAACACGCGTGGGACCAGATGGCTTTTTGTATTGGAGGTTTATACCTCTTAGCTGTGTTCAATGTGAGCTGTAGTTTGGGAAGTTGATGTAAGGGCAATGGAAAACCTTTCAAAAATGGAGAAATTAAATCAAGAAGCCAAGACATTAAAAAAAAAAGTAGTCAGAAGAGGAAGCTTTGAAGCTTTCAATCTTTCTTCCGTGGTTTGCAAATCTTGATGTTTTTTTCCTTAGTACTTATCTCCTAAAGTTATTCAGGACAATTCCATACATAGTCACATTAGTATTATCTACACTATAAATGGAGATAAAATTAATTAAACACAACTGAGGGGGAAAGTCACCACCACTTACAAATACCTAGCTTTATGTCTTTATCTGAGCAATTAAATTACAGTCTCTCTCTCCAATATCATAATAGACAACCCAGGGATCAGCCTTCTTAGAGGATTTTTTTCCCAGACCTCCAAATCCAAGAGAACATTTTCATCACCAGGTTGGATGTGAAAGAGCAAATCCATTAAACTACCCAAACGAGCACTTACGGCCTCTCAGAGCTCAAAACTTCATCCCGAAGAAGACTTGAAACCCTAATTTGAAACCATTGCTCCCAAGTTTTCACTGCTGCTCACCACCTGCCCTTCTTTCCTTTGTCCCCAAGCTTAGAAGTTAATTAAGTTTTAACAACGCTTCCTATATATGTCAAATGGGATATCTGATTGCTCATCTCTTTTACATAATTGATTAATAACCTTGCTAATGGAGCATCCTGAAATCCTGTTAAAACCAGAGCAAGGCTCCATCCCCGCCCATTGCTTGCAGGGTTTTATTGAAGTCATGGGGTTTGGGCTGCACCTTCAGGTGCAAGGCACAAGGTCAAGTTCCCCAGGGAGCTATTTGGAGGGTGAACGTTGTTTTCAACTACAACTTCTACATTTTGAGACTTTTTGCCTTTGCCTCCTTCGTTGAACTGCTCAGTCCAGGAAAGCTCAAGGCCACCAAGAGAGGTTGATGCCTTCAGAGATGGGGCTAAAACTGCATTTTCCCCTAAATGCTGTGTTCTTGGCATGAGGAGCCCATCCACACAGCAGTTCCTCGCAGGAGGCTGAAGGTGGCTTTGGCAAACACATATTTGGAGGAAGGTAAAAGATGTTAAGAATGTGTTTCCTGAAGAACTGCACAGAAATCAGAGCTTTTCACACTGAACTCTATAAATACTTTTGATAGGGCTCTTGGTGTGGAGTTTGGTGGATGAAATTAGCAGTCAGCAGCAACTTTGGTAAGATCTTACATGCACCAGTACCAGAAACAACATCAGAATTGCTTTTCAGAGCAATAGCTGTGCCTGTCCTAGAGACGAGCCCGAGTGGCCTCGTTTGCTGGTGCCCTCCAGCCAGCTCAGCCCCTGACACCCACGGAGAGCAAAGAGAGTGCAAACCGGGGGAGAAACCTCATGCTTTGTTGCATCAAGCAGTTTCACGGGCAAAATGCAGCCTTTATTCCTCCTGGAGCTCCTCGTACTCCCACACAGACAACAAGAAGCTTTCTGCAGACATTAACCTTGGTTGATTGACACCCACTAGAAAAGAGCTCCTTGAGCCACAGAAATTTCTGCGAGGATTTGGGGGGCAAATGCATGACCCAGTTCGGCTGCCAACGCCATCCCCAAAGGGTTCCTTCCCTATGGGAACATTCACGCGACAAATCCGGAATCACACTGCTGCTTCAGCTTTGCAGACAAGTCCCTTCACCAATGACTTACCGGGTTCTCCTCACCTAGCTGTTTCCTCCCCAACTTTCCGCACAACGCAGTCCTGTTTTTCACCTTCAGCCTGACTTTGTAATCCACGGCTGCTTTCAAATCAGCTGTTCAGTGTATTAACGAGTGGATTAACTTTTGGCTTGTTGAAGAATAGTAGAGGAAAAAAAGCTCTCTTTCTGAATTATCAAAAAATAATTGGAATTAAAATTGTAAATGGTTTCTACAAGGAACGTTTTTGTAATTAGGTGCATTCGTGTGATGGAAGCTATTATAAATAAGAAAAAAAATGTGTTTACCTAATCACTGGCAAAGTGCACATTAGCTCTCTAATTAGAATTCCCTTACGGCTCTACTACCAACTTTGGACACAAAATTATTTGTTTTGTGCTTCCCATAGCAGACAAAAAAAACCCTGCATGAGCTCCATTGGTGCATGCCCAGGACTGCAAAATGGGCTGCATTTTAATTGCTAAATTCACATTTATTTTTCTCAGTGCATCGTTGCTCCTGTCCAGCCACTGCAAACCCCACAGTCCAAAGCAACTGTTCTGCGGTGCCTCACTGAATTTAAGAGAAATTTATATAGCTGCTCCCAATAAACTTGTTACCTTTCCAAAATCCAGCTGCAGCAGATAGGGCAGAGCAAAGAAATTGGGGCAGTTTAGTATAGGGCGGTTTTTAGCCATGGGTAGCTATAATACAACAATGTCAGCAAAAGAAAGCAGAGAGCAGGGCTAAACACCACCCTGAGAGACATTACAGAGCCAGAATAGTAAAATAAATAAATTTATATACACAAACATACACATATATAGATTTTTTTATATACCACTTACTTGATTAAATCTCTACATATCAAAAATAGCTGTTACCCATCAGTAAACTCCTTTAATAATTAACAGCTAATTACCATCTGCTCTAATAAATCTAAATAAACCCCTTTTTTGAGACTCCCAAAGTGCAGCCAATCATGCCTATTGATCATGGGTATCAGCAGCATCTGAGCACGAGAAGCACCTGTTTGGGAGATGCACAGGAGCAGCAGCATTAGAGAAATCAGGATTACCAGAATCATTTGCTGTTATGAAACCCCTCTGACTAAGAGTGTGAATATGTTTTCCCAGAACCGACCCAGACCGTTGTGGAGATGGTGAAAAAATCCTGCAAAATTCCTGAGGTTTGGGGCAGAGACCAGCCAGAGCAATGTTTCACTCTGGCTATTTAATATTTATCTTTTAAAAACATAAATGCATTCACTAACAAGGAATAATGTTCCTTATGAGGGAAGGAAGGGAAGGAAGGGAAGGAAGGGAAGGAAGGGAAGGAAGGGAAGGAAGGGAAGGAAGGGAAGGAACTGCAAGCCTTCTAGAAGTTTTAAAAGGACTTTTAGTTGCCTTCTTGTTGCTATCAGCCAGAAATGCTCCTCGGTTCCACAGTGCTCGAGGGACTCGATGGGTTAGAAAAAGCAAACAGTAAAATTGCATGAAGATTTCCTTTGTGTTACTCATTGCAACAGTCAGAAAGCAGCCCTTGAAGACTGCTAAAAGTAATAGGAACTGGCTGCCCTTTTAATAAGCCCCTTTTAAAGCATCTCTGAACAGCCCAGAAGAGCATTCGATGATCACTGCATCAGTCTGCCTGAATTTCTCCTTGCAACCTGAATTTCTGAGTGGCAGAGTTTATGTGCCAGCCTGTTGCTAGTTTGCTATAGCACAAGCCTCCTGCACATAGCAGGAACCATGTCTTGCATCATGATACCTAAATACCTGTATCTGTACCTATTTGGTCACCTGCCAACCCAAGAAGTACCCAAAACACTGCACGTAAGCCACAATGCCCAGGAAAAGGGTAGCTTGCAAAAATTCCCTGAAATGCTTCTACCCATGGCTGTACCCATGGATATTTTCTTTTTAAACACCTCAGGGTACCAAACCACTGTATCCATCACTGATGTGCCAGGAAAGCTGTTTTTTTGCCCTGTTTCTGTAGCACAGTGTCACTACTAGGAGGCTTTTCCTCTCTTTTTGCCTAAAAATCAGCTCAAGTTTCCCATTCCCTCCCCCAAAAATCCAATAAATTAAAGGGGAAAAAAAAACAGCATTCCTCATTTTTCTAGACACAAGTAAAAAGAGCAAATTACCCACAATTTGAGCAATGAGTAGGATGCAGTCTGTTTCTCTGGGCATGGGCAGAAGCTCTAGTACTGCAATAGGGGATCATTATAAACATTGCACATACAGGAAATAGTGATTTGCACTGAAAAATAATCTGGAGTAGACAGGGAAAAAAATATTTATGTAAATAAACTGATCTTGGCATTTTTATACATTTTTAATGAGCAAGAAGTTTGCTTTTGTACAATGAAGGAACCTCATGCAAGCAAAAGAGAATCAATAAGGATTAAAGGGCATCAAAAATTTAGATATTTCATCCTCCCTGGCAGACAATTCTCTTCCACAATCTGATACGAGACACAAATAGTTGCAGCCAAATTCAATTCTGTGTTTACTGTTGCAATTTCAGGTTGATATCGAATCATCTGATTTACTCAAATCCCATGAAAATTGCACATCAATCACAATGTCTATATCAGAACAAGAGCTGAAAATATTACAGAAAAAGCTCATAAAAAAAATTCCACCCAAAAAAAAAAAAGGTAGTTTTGAAGCTTTTGCTCCTCTGAGATCTTCACCACTCGCCCCAGCACCATTTTTTAACAAAAAAAAAATGTTTCTTTAGAAAATAAAACATAAGACAAAAACAAAAAGAGTGCTCCGGGGAAGGGTCTAAGCAAGCAGCCTTCTGCATGGGGCAAGAAGCTCAAATGGTTTTAACCAACTGCAGTTCCACATTGCAAGACACCGACAAAACCACGTATTTTCGTGCATGTCTTGTTTAATTAATGCAGGTGGCTTTTAATATCCAGATAGCCCCTTTGGCCAATTTAATCAGCGAATCCAAATTAAGTTAAATTGCTGTTCCCTAAGGGATTTTTCTCCAGTTTTAATTGTTTTTGTGTTTTCCTTTGTTTGTTTGCTTAATATCCATTTTAGTTAAGCCGTTTCAGTTTTGCCTACAGGA